ATTCAGAAGTAGATATAGGTCACATGGCCAAACCTCGCTGCAAGGGAGATTGGGAAATGTGGTCTCTAGGTGAGTCACCATGTGACCATGGACGAGAGGACAATCAGAGTTTGGTGAACAGCTAATATTCACTATCATCCAGTACCTTTAATACTGACTTTTCGTGTTCAATGTGTTATAATTCTGGAAATCATTATGTGTTACATTTTTTCATTCTCAATAATTAGACCTGAATGGTTGTTAATTTTATAATTCCTGAATTAATATAATCAGGTTCAGTTTATCTTTTTATTACCATTGATTATATATTTTTATATAAAGCATTTGCTGGATTGGAGACATGAACAATGAAAATTTGCTTGGTTTTCTTATACATATTTGGTTTAATTCTGTTGAATGTCACCAAGAAAACAAAATTTTGTGCTGATAATTTTTATCAACTCATAAGACTTGTAAACACAATCCTATTTTATGAATTTGACAATAATTTTTTCCTGATATAAATATCAACTTTAGCATTGGTCAATGAAACATAATGTGATTTTATAATTTTTAGCAAAATAACACCACTTTGCATCATTAAGAATAGACATTGCAATCTGTTTTATAAGGAAATATTAATTGTATGATTCATACTTTATTTACTGTGGATATTTTATAAAAAATGAATATGATTCTTTAAAAAACCTGAGCTAACACTTTAAGGATCAATTATAGCCATGTTAAAAATATACTGTAAGTACAAAATTTAAGTTTGATTTATCTATGCTTACCCTTAATATAGTGGTATCATCTTGTCTTTTACAAAGTTGACAATATTCCTTGATCCTAATAAATTATAAAATATTTATAAAATGATCTTGTCTAATTCATTTTCAGATAGAAAAATGATGCTTATAATGCTAGGCTAAGAGTGAAGGATGCGAACGTTGGTAGTTTAGAAATTAAATAATTTATACCTTACATGGACCTAGAAAAACACCATGTGTCTTACCAACAGATGTTCACCATTTATCATTTTCCTTTGTTCCTTAAAGCGATGGCAGACTGTCCTTCTAGCATACAGCTGCTTTGCGACCATGGGGCCTCTGTGAATGCCAAAGATGTAGTAAGTCAGTTTATGTTTGTTCTCATTTCAACCCATGTATTTTTAAGTTTTATGTCTTGGGAGATTCGTTGTCTTAATGCTGTTTTATTTTTCCTGTTGCTTAGGATGGGCGGACTCCACTTGTTCTGGCTACTCAGATGTGTAGGCCAACAATATGTCAACTGCTGATAGATAGAGGAGCGGATGTTAATTCCAGAGACAAACAAAACAGGTAATTGTTTTCTCATGGCTCCCCAGATACCAGCTGGATGTCAGGGATGGCAAGGCCAAGTCACAGCAGCACCTCTGTGCTGTGACTTGGCTTTTTCTTCCCCCTTGCTCCTCCCCTTCCTTGGCTTGCTCCCTTGGAATTAGCATCCACCTCTCATTTTTCTTCAGAGTCTGCTGAAGAAGGAAGGAGAGGGAGATAGGGAAAGACGATGAGGTAAATGCTGAATAAAAACAGTGATTGGCCTATGTTTGTATCAAAGAACTAAAGGAAAGAGGAATTGTATCCCAGTTATTTTAAGCTTTAATGAAATGGGTCCAAATACGATATAAAGTAGAAGAATAAAAAACTTCTATAGTCTACTTCTACATCAGTGAATCTTTTGAGAATAAATTATTTCTTTGGTGTCTTAGAGCCTGACATGTTTCAGTATAGATTTTTCTTGAGGTGTTTTTCTCTCCTTACCCTGCCAGGGCACAGTGCTGTCTCCTCTGAACTAAGCCCATTTCTGTACCCCAAGATTCCCTTCATTTATTTTTGCTTCTGTATTTGATATTATTTTCGTTGGTATGCTCTAATAATTTCTATCCAAAATTCTCCCTGCCCCTTATCTAGGACTAGTGTATCATGGGGCTTGCAGTATTAAAATTCTGATGTTTATGGTCACAAAGCATCTGAAATACATCTCTATTAGTTGAAGTATTATAATAAACTAAAATTTCTGGTACTTTATAGATAATTACTACTACAATTGTTATTTCTTTTGACTTAATTTTATTCTTCTAAACATGTATCCTATGGTTGGTAGTTCATGTTCATTGCAAGTAGATAAGTACAAAAAATAGTCTTTAGTTGTCATATTTTATAGCTCTGTTTATTTTTCAGATATCTCAAAGGAAGAAATTCTTAAGCAATTAAATCATTAATGTGGTTAAGAAAGTGGCTTTTTTATATTACTTTGTTTTTATAGATATTATAATCTGATTCCAAGCATGACTAAGGAAATTTGATTTTAAAATTAAATTTAGGATCAGAGAGAGATTGTCTTAGTTGATCCATGTATAATACCTTATATTTTTATAGTTCTTATATTTTTTGAAGAACTTTTGTCTATATTTTTTCATTGGATTTTCACAAAAAGCCGATGAGGTAGGGTAGTATAGATCATATAGACTAGATAGCAGATGGTTTCAAAAATAATTTATAACCTTAGTTTCTGACACTCTGTACTACTCTTTTCATTTTTTTCCTGTTTTATCTGTAGCATTTTTTTTTAACCTAATAATGAAAATGTTGTTAATGCCTGCTGTGTACAGATTTTCATACCAGCAACTACAGGGAGTTAGGAAGTGGGGTAGGGATATAAGAAACAGAGCATACATAGCAGAGTACAGGTAAGCATCAGTTTCCTTATGAAATCCAGTGTTCACAGTTGAAGACATAGTTAGGTATAGAATGAGTCATTTCATTTCATTAGGTGTTGGTTCCCTCACCAGTAAAAGTAGAGCATTAGAAAAGATAATCTCTGGGGTCCTTGTAAATTTCCAAGATAGTTTAATTGTTTTGTTGTCTGATTACTATTTGCTAATATACTGTGAAATGTTTAAGTGCTCTTGGTTCCACCACAGCAGAATAAAGCAGTGGTCCATGTTGCATGGGGTTAGTTGAGGAAAGTTTATTGGAGGAAACTTAAATGAAGTCTGAAGATGTAAAAGTCTTCAGGTAGAAGAAGCAAGAACACCAGGAATGGAAGCTGATTCTTCTCTGGGAGGAGAAGAGATTTATAGGGGAGGTTTACATGATGTGATTGAGTTTGTGAAGAGACTTGAATAGTTTGGTTTTGAGCAGATGGGGTGACAATATCAGTTATGGAAGATTTTTGTAGAGATTATTTACCTGTAGGATATTGAAGTGGAATAAATTTTAGTTTAGTCGAAGTAATTAAAGTATATGAGATGATAAAAGAATTTAGCTTTGCAACCTAAGACACAAAGCAAATCTTTTTATAAATGCAATGAAGTTAAAATATAAGCTAGTATAAAGTAAAATATGTATCTAGAACATATCTATCTATCTAAAAGTAGTATCTATTCTTTAAGTAGGGGATCTCTGACATCTGACAGAATATTTCTGAAATATTTCCTTGGATTTTTCTCAAAGTCTTTTTTAGTCTTTCTTTTTCTGTTTTAGAACTGCTCTCATGCTGGGTTGTGAGTATGGTTGCAGAGATGCAGTAGAAGTCTTAATTAAAAATGGTGCTGATGTAAACTTGCTGGATGCCCTTGGCCATGATAGTTCTTACTATGCAAGAATTGGCGACAACTTGGACATTCTAACCTTGTTGAAGACTGCTTCGGAAAATACCAACAAAGGTATCAGCAGTTTTCTATAACTAGAAAAGTTCACGCTAATAAAGAACAGTTTTTTAAAAACTTAGTAGAACTACAGTTCGTGAGAAGCAAAACATTCTTCACTGTTAAACAGTATTGGTTCATCTCCTTCTATTCCATGAACTTCCTAACTTACATTATAGTCACTTGTTTTGAGGCAGTGTGTTCCATGTATTGTCTAGTTTTATCAATACTAATGAATGCTAATATACTGTGGAATAATTTAAGAACTGAAGAGGAAGAGTCAGTTCAAGTGTTTTACTAATTGATTTTTATGAAGAGGGGTGAAGGTTCTAAATTTGATACTTACAAAGTTTTAAAGAAAGAATTATTTAAACATGAAATATTCAATTGATATTTATCAAATGGCTATTCCAAGTATTTTTCTATGGTGAATAAGGAAAAATTGTAAAATACAGAAAAGCACAATGAATAAAGTTAGTCACTCATCCTACTGCTGAGGAGCCTCTCTTAACATGTTGAAGAATATCCTTCCAGACTTTTCCCTATGCATAAAATTGAGGTCCCCTGTAATACTGAGTTGTAGCTTCCTTTTTTATGTGATGTATTTTGAAGGCTTTTCTCTCATAAGTAAATGTTTTTTCTATAGTGTGATTTTTATTGATGCATAAAATTCAATTTATTTGAATTTCATTTAATGAAGCAGTTTTCTATAGGTGGTGTTTAAGTTATTTATAGTTTTTCACTGATATTAAAATATAACTGTACTTACACATAAATATTTTAGCATATTTTTGTTACCACTTAGGATCAATTCCTAGAAATTGAATCACTGGTTTTCAGGGCATGCACATTTCTTTAAGACTTTGGTGTATATTGATAAATTGCCTTGCAATTTAGGAGTGTTTTAAATTTCCCATTTTCTTTACCTGCCTCTCCTCCCTAACATTGAATATTATCTACCTGAATATTGTTATAAAAAATTTGCTAATTTGGTAGGCAAAAATGATATTTTCCTTTTTTTTTCCTTTTTTTAAATTATTTTTTATTTCGGCATATTATGGGGGTACAGATTTTAAGGATTCAATAAATGCCCATTTCCCCCCATTTTCCTTTTGTTTTAAGTGTAAGTTTTGGAAATAAAACTAAAAAGTAGTAAGCTTTAGAAGAAACTTTAAAATTTATTTATTTGATATTCACTCAATTGTATAGTTAGGGAATGCATACCTACCCAAATTAATCTGCTGTTTCTGTGTTTCTCTTTTTCTCTCTTTAAATTTTTAGGGAGAGAGCTATGGAAGAAAGGACCATCTTTGCAACAGGTAGATCTTAACTTTAGTTTTTAAAAGTTATATGTATTATACAATCTAAGTAAAGTACTTAGTAAGACTAGTTAATAATGATCATGTATATCTGTTCTTAGTTTAAATGTATTCTGGCTCTCTTCTCAGTTAATCATGCCTATATAGAACCTAGGTATTAAGATCATGAGGTTCTGTCAAGATACTGTCACTCAGTTTTAGACAATAGAACTTAATTACAATGAATGTATCTAATGCGAAATAAATAGCCTCTTGTCTAGGGCCTTCAACATGCAACTCTTTCAGGTATTGAATGTTATACCGTGTTAAATGATGAATTTTAGCCTGGCAGATCATAGACAGTTTCCCTTATTCTCCCTTAATAACAGATCCAAATCTTTACTGTTAGGGGCACATTCTTCCAATGCAGTAAGAAATGAAGAAAACAGAGTTCAAAACTGTTTATATATTGTGATTTCAGTACCACTGTTATTTTTTATTTCTTTTCATTCTTTTTCTCTGTGTATATTTAATGGAGGACTTTACAAAATACATTCAGCATAATACATGAAATAATTAATACTTTGTACTAACTTTTATTATCAATCACTGTTTAACCCTGGTTTTGTATTCTAGTTTATCTTATATTTTCTCCTAATCGCCTCAAAATGAAGTAAGTGGTTAGTTTATAGCACCCTGGCTCAAAAGCTAGCGTAGGCAGCTTTCCTCTCCTGCTGGCTGTTCCCTTCCAGGCTTTCAGCTTTTCTCTAGTGAGAGCAACCTGAGCGTTTCCAAACCCTGAAGAGAAAGTAATCAGGTACCTTGCAAGCAATTCTGATCACCATTCTGCATCATTTCTGTACCTCTCACCTAAATCTGAAAGCTATATTAAAGCTTGTTTTCCTTTTCAATCCATCTGAATTTAGTAATATGTTCATGCATGGTTATGTCTGTTGACACTTTTCAATCTGGAACAACTGTTCCAACCTTCTCCCCTGTTCCTCATATAACCTTAGTGGGAGTAGAGTGAAATAAAATGTACATGGTTATATCTGTACCAGCTATCTCACACAGAATCAGAAAAAAATGATTTCTAAAATGTACAGATATTTAAAGTAAAGACTACTGGCTCCTAATTACTGTGTTTCCATTATTTATTGACTGTACTTAGTAAATATCTGCTATAAATAGAATTTGTTCTTATCCTAAGGGGCATGTCATCCCTGTTATCAAGAAGCCTAGTGTAGTTGTAAATGCAAGACTTCTTTAGTTGTTGGTTCCACAAATATGTGTTAAACACCTACAATATGCCAATTACTGTTCTACGTGCTGGGGATATTGTAGTGTAAAGTCCCTGGCCTCATAGAGCTCCTAGCGTGAGGAATGAACAATAAGCAAATGAGTATTTAATATCATGGCAGTTGCTATGAAGAAAAACGAAACGGGATCAAAGGGTGATGAGAGGGTTGGGGCTCTGTGGGAGAAGCCTCACAGACCAAGGGAGGGGCAGGTACCACGGCCTTGCTGAGGGAGCGTGTTTAACATGTCCATGGGGCAGCAGAAGGCCACACTGAAGGGAGTCGTGTGCACATGGTGGAGGGAGCAGAAGGAACTGCAAAAGTAACCAGGTGTCAGATTAAGAAGAACTTTATGTGGTAAGGCCTTTGGATTTATATCCACTGGTGACTAACTAACAGATAGCAGAAGGCAGGATGTGAGCGTTCAGTCAGTGGTTCATGGGACCATATCACTGGTACAAGGAGCCGGAGTGCAAGAGAAGTTCTTTTAGTGTGCTAATAAGGCTTTATCAAGAAGATGAATCTTAAAGGACAGGGTTGACTGAGTATGTCTGAGGCAGGGTAGGGGGAGAGTAAAGGCAGTGGGTGAGGATTCTGAAGGGGAGGCTGGAAAGGAAAGTGGTATGTGAGAAGATGTCAGATTCCACTCCAAGAACAGTCCTTTAGTAGAAGGAATGAGGCTACAAATGTAGCTGGGCCAAATTGTGGATGTAGAATATCTTTTTAATGAGATCTGTTCTTCTTATTCTAGATCCAAACTCATGATAGTTTAAAAACTTGGTTAAACCAAAACTCAAGTAATACAAAACATGAAAAAATTATCTTGGAGAATTAACATAGTAGCTTTTTTTAAACTCTAAGAAAGGAAGAAAGAAATAGCTTTCTAAATTAGTTACTGTACAGATTTAAAGATCAATTTGGGTGAAAAAAAGGTTATTTTTTCTCTCGTTTAATAATCGTGTTGTATTTTTGTTAAAGCAAATCTCTAAGCTGGAATAAAGTTTCAAATCAGTAAGTGTAAAAAACAAAACATAAACCCAACCAAATTATTTAGAGATCTTTTTACATAGCTCAGATCAGAGGATTGTTAGTTTTGTCCTTACCAAATCTCTTGATATTTTATTTCAGCAGTGCTCAGAGAAATAAATAGTTTTTAAACTAAATTCTTCACTTGGGAATGGTTGTCAGGTACAAATTCTCCTTTTTAAAAATTCGTAAATTTAGTTAAAATAAATCTTTCATGAGTATTTTAAGTTCTATCATTTAGTATTTTAAAATTATATTTGATATATTTACCTATATCCTTAAAGATGCTTTCCATTTGGGGATTCTAAGTGGAAATACTGCCACCTTGTGTTTGTGCAGCAAAATTTAATATTGGATAAACTAAAAATCACTGGGCAAATGGCCTATTTAGGAAAATATACTTTTCTGTGATCTCATACTTGGTAACCTGCGTTTTCTTATGTTTTACCAAAGCGAAATTTGACACACATGCAAGATGAAGTAAACATGAAGTCAAATCAGAGGGAACATCAAAACATTCAGGTAAAAAGAAAAAAAAAGTATTTGATGTCCTCCTTTAAAAAGAATTCCAGTGTTGTTTGTAGTGGGATGGGGGGAGAAGAGAGAAGCAAGAGAGAGAGGGAAAGGAAGGGACTCGTGTTAAAATGGTTTGTGCTTCTATTTTCTTGCCCAATTCCTTCTGAAGAATCTACTTTTGTTACAAATGTTTAGGTCAGTATTGTGTAATTAAATTATTACACTAGAAGTATGGCATAAGAAGTATTTTTTGATGTATATTCTGAAAAGCAAATAATTTAACAACTTTATACAACTCTTTGATTTAAATAAATCATATATAAATCATACATTTATGTTCATTTTGCAAAATTATAGCGATAGAAGTGTCTTTAATGTAAACAAAATGAAATCTGAACTTTTTCTTAAAGTATTTTGATTTTATTTCAATTAAGAAAAATAATTTTGTTAAATGAATCACATGGTGCTTTTTACCTTTTATGTTGGTCAAAGTTTCAAAAAATAATTATGTTAGAGGAAGAACCCATAATTATATAGTTTATTTTATGAGTGAAGCACCTTTAAATTATAAATTTAGGTGTTAGAGGAAGAACCCATAATTATATAGTTTATTTTATGAGTGAAGCACCTTTAAATTATAAATTGAATGGCTGTTTTCAATATAATAAAAATAAAAGCATTTTATTTGGATTTTCTTAGTTTACTATGTAGTGTTAAGAAAGTGAATTATATCCTTAAATTGGAGCCTTTAATGTTTTATCAGAATACTGAAATGATGATTAGTTTAACAAAAGCATTAGAATAGTCTCATAAACTTGGAATGTTTTAAGCAAAAGTTAAAATGTCATATTCTTCTGCTATTTTCTGTTTCTAGGTGATGGTTTTATTTTTTAATTATTGGAATCATGATTTGCCTTCTAGTAGTATATACTTGTATTTATTAGATATGATAGAACAGTAATTTTCTGTGTTATTTCTGATTTGTAGATTTTAAATCGCTTGAGTATCATTGAAATTATTGTATCCTTGTGCTTAAAGTGTTTTATATACATATGCATCTGTACATGGTAGTGAACTACTTTAAAAAATTTATTCTATAAGAATTGCCCTTTTAAGGTTGGTCTAACGAACTGTTATCTTCATTATTTAAGGATTTGGAGATTGAAAATGAAGATTTGAAAGAGAGGTTAAGAAAAATTCAGCAAGAACAAAGAATACTATTGGATAAAGTCAATGGTTTACAGTTACAGCTGAATGAGGTAAATTATCTGCAGTATAAAAAAAATCCAACACTGTTTTCCCACTGGTAATCATCACCAATAACAAATTGTTAGCGATTGTGCTAAAGGAGGTAAAATTAAATCATTGCCCTTAAGGGAGTTATATCTTAGTGGGGACCAGATCCTTTATGTGAAACTTAATGTTAAATATAAAGTAGCATAAGCCATCTAATAGGTGAGGACAGTGCAAGGGACATTCAGGGAAGTGAGACGAGGTCATTGTGGGCCACTGTCTCCGAGGGGGCACTTCCTGCAGGAGATTGTACTTCCGTGGAATTTAGAAAGAAGCAAGAGGGTATCGGAGCATTCAAGAGAATATTGTAATGGCCAAAATGACAGAAGCAATAATCTGTAATCTCTGTTGTGTAAAAAATTAGAAATGCAAGAAATATCTATAAATCATTATTTTTAGAGGCAAGTAGAATATATATATATAATGCAGTATAATCAGATCACTCTTTAAATACACAGTGTGCACATGACTTATCACAGGTGAAATCTTGTGTGATATTTACGTTTCAAAAGTAAGAAGTAAATGCATGGTTGGTATAGCTGTGTCCTTTTGGTTGTAATTTTCTGTATCACTTTTATATCTTGCTATCTAGTTCAGATTTTCCTGAAACTGAACATATCTAAAAGCAAATTCATTATCTCATTCCCAAATCAGTCATCACCTTTTTCTTTGTTCTAAGAGCAGTATCAACTGTCTTTGCTACCCACACTAACCTTAGAATCATCTTTGAGTCTTTCCTTTCCTACACCCTCTCCCCATACATTGATTTAGTTGCCCTAGGAATAGTCCCTGAGATTAAAATTGTGACAGCTAAACTCTGGATGAGTTAAAGAACAAGTTAGTGAATTGTTAGATAGGATAAAGTATTCATCCAGATGTGGCACAGAGAGAAAAAGGCATAAAAAAATGTGCAGTGTAGTTAAAAGAAAATACAGATAATTGTTGATAATTTCCAGGAATTAAGGAAAGAGATGATTTCAGATGATAGTGTACTCTGAGTACCAGGCTGTGTAAATAAAAATATAGACACAGCTAGATACCATATTGTGGAATTATATACCATCAGATTTAAAGAGAGGATCTTAAAAGTGGTCAGAAAGGAAGGTCAGATGTTAGGAAAATTTATACTGGGAAAAAGAAGGACTATTAATATCTGCAAAATGCTAATAAAATGAGCCTTCAACCTTGACTTGTATTCCCAAACAAGAGTGAGGTCAAAATGAAGACCTTTCCAGACTTCCAAGGACTTAGAGAATTTGCCTCCATAGACCCTTGGGAAAATAACTGCTAAAGAATGTATTTAAGCATAAAGAAATGTAAACACAAAGGAAAGATGTGGAATATAAGAAACATGGGTGAGCTCAGAAATTGATAAAATATGTTGATAAAATTAAGTAGTCAGTATAAAAATTAAATACTAACTTTGGTATGGTTAAAAATAAGGGTAACTTCTAGGTTAACATTACAGTTTGAACATGTGCATTTACTTTCTTTTCCATTCCCATCCCTACTAAATGGATAATAAAGGAACATTCTAAAAGCATTCTTTAGAACAATAGAGCAGGAGTCAATACCACATTAAGAAAATGTTGACTCTGGAAAGCAGATGAATGAATGATAAATGACTTCATATACTTGAGAAATTGGGATCTGAGGCCAGCAATGGGGAAAGTGAAATGATTTATAACGCAGAACTCCTAAAAGGCTTAGCAGTTAGTGGTACCAGGTACCTCTGGATTTGGAGGTAAAGGTAGCATTATTGGTTAAAAGCCCAATTAAGGAACAGGTTCCTAAATGCCCTGACTCATTCCATTCAGCTGCAACTGAATTGTTCTACCCTCAACAGAAGATTAGAGGTTTAATCTCTGGAGAGATTAAACAGAGTCTCTGAACTGGGGACACTGAGTATAGCTGAGGATGGGTATACCACACAAAACACAACTAGAGTAAGTGAATATTGGCATCTAAGTGCTGGGACCCTCCTTGTCTCCCCCACTCTCCTTAGCTACCGGAATACTGTTGGCAAGTCCTTCAGCAGCTAGGTAGGGATTCTTCCCAAAGGAATCTTTCCAGCCCAAGAAGTAAATAACTTAAAAATACTGAAAACGAGGGATTCCTTAGCTAGTGATATGGCCCGACCATGTCATCTTCAACAAAGCCCTTAGTTACACATGGGTTTAGACCTTCTAGTCAGTTATTTAGTGCTCCACTCTTAAACATGAGCAGAGACCAAGGTGCTAGATATCTGAGGACAGCTTCAACCATGGAAGGTAGATACTAAACAAACACAAAAGAAAATTGGAAGAAATGGATTGTGCCAGGAAAGGAAATTTTAAAAAACAAAAAACTGCCTGGTATTAATTTATCTTCAGTTAGACAAGAGAATATTATATCTTTGAAGTGAGAACAGGATATTTTAAAAAGGAAACATTCTGACATCAAAAATAAAGCTGAGAAAAAAACCCAAAAGTATAGGAAAAAGATAAAGACTTGGCAAATAGAAAAGGTAGGAAGATTGGAGAACACACTAAGAGGTCCAACATCTGAATAATAGCAAGAACAGAGGGGAGGAGAAAATCATCAATAAAGTAATTCAAGAAAATCTTCCAGTACAGAAAGACATCATATTTCCAGATTGAGAGGACCCACAGTCAGTGAAGCTAGATCCACACCAAAGCAATCATTGTTGAACTTTAGATTTTGAGGAAAAGGAAAATCCTACAAATGCCTCCCCCCCACCCCCCAATTTTCAAGTTACATGTTCAAGGATAAAAAATCAGAATCGCTTTGACTATCTCAGTTGTAACATTGGAAATGAGAAGACCATGGAGCAATGCCTTCAGAATTTTGAAGAAAATAAATTTCCTACTTGGATTCTGTAGCCAGCCATTCAAATGAGAGGATGGGAAAAAAATGATTTCAGACATGCAAGGTGTATTAGTTATCTACTGATGTGTAACGAGTTGCCCTCAAATTTAGCTTAAATCAGCAGATATTTAATATCTCATATGTTGTCTGAGGGCCAGGAATCTGGAAGTGGTTTAGCGTTATGGTCCCTCATAAGGTTGCAGTCAAAGCTGTTGGTTGGGGCTGCAATACCTGAAGGGCTAAAGGGGATCGGCTTTTAAATTGACTGATGTGATGGTTGTCAAGGGGCTGTAGGTCCTTGCCACGAGGACTTCTCCATAGAACAGCTCATGATGTAGCAACTTTGAACAACAAAATTAACAATTTCGATTTAACATATGTATTTAACCCTGTATTATGTTTTTAGAAATACAGAGTATATATTCCTTTTAAATATACAGGGATGGTGGTATAGATGCTCATTTTATTATGCTTAAATAATTATTAAACTAGGACATTATATATACTCACATGTGATATATTAACACAATTAAAAAGTTAATACCAAAAAAAGAAGGCAGGTATCAATAATTTAGGTGTGTGGTAATAATAAAGGACCAATCTATAGTTGGGGCCATGGATTGAAGAGGAAGAAGTAGACAAAAAATGTAAAGAGGAAGAACAAGTAGGACTTGGTGGTCAATGGGTTCTCAAAAGAATCCAAAGTGCTTCTGAATCTGGTTAGTGAAAAGAATGAATGACAACTCATATAACAAAGTTGGTAAATACATAGACATTTTCTTCTTATATTTTTGACCCCAATATTAAAGACATGTGCCAGTCTTTAAAAAATATATTTGCCAAGCTCTTATGCCTTTTAAAATAAACTTTCAAGAGTTAAAATGCATTTGTTCTTTTTAAATTTAGGAAGTAATGGTTGCTGATGATCTGGAAAGTGAGGTAGGATGATAAATTTTATTTTAAAGCTGTAAAAATGTTTTGTAAATCGAGGATGATATTGTAGTAAAAGTATAAGTCCTGAATTGATATGGAGACCAGGATTCATTTCTGGTTATTGTTGAAAGGGAAAAACAAAATCTGCATGTGATTATAAAAGTATGTTTTGAATATAGTGGCATGGGTTATTATAGGCATTTTGTTGTTATTGCCTCTGAATGTCTCACTTTCTATGAAAATTGTTATGAAAAAATATAAAATTCTGAATATTATGTAGAAAATGAAAACATTAAAATTTAAAACAAGTAGAAATTTAAATTTTTCATTATATTATTTGGATATATTATATGTTTTATTGGTATATTTGTAGGAATTATCAACTATACTAATAGTTAAAATCCACCAGGTTGAAGAATTCACTGACTCCAGTCCTTAAAGTAATTCCAATCCACATTTTCTAAAACACATTTTTAACCCAATTTTAAGCACAGGGTGATTTTATTCTGTATTTTTCCTTTCCATTTCAGAGAGAAAAGCTGAAGTCCCTTTTGGCAGCTAAAGAAAAGCAACATGAAGAAAGTTTAAGAACTATTGAGGCTCTGAAAAACAGATATAAATATTTTGAGGTATAGAAAGCTTAAATTATTTCCTGTAATTTATAATGGGTATTGGTAAGGAATTTGGCATCAGACTTGAACTTGAATTATAAATCTATTTAAAGTATGACCTTGGGCTGCTTATGTATTTATTTTTATTTAAAAAAACTTTATTATTATTATTTTTGAAAAAGGATCTCACTCTGTCATCCAGGCTGAAATGCAGTAGCATGATCATAGCTCACTGTAGCCTTGAACTCCTGGGCTCAAGCATTTCCTGCCTCAGTCTCCTGAGTAGCTGGGACTGTAAACACATGCCACTATGCTAGACTAATTTTTTTCATTTTTTTTAGAGACTGGGTCTCTCTCTGTTGTTCACGCTATTCTTGAACTCCTGATCTTCCTGCTTCAGCCTCCCGAGTAGTTGGGATCACAGGCACAAGCACCGTGCTTGGCTAGGCTGCTTACTTAAAGTCTCTGAGCTTGTTGCCTCTTTGGAAAAATTTGGGTGATTGTTTCTTTTTCCACAGAGTTGTAAGGTTAAATGAGATCATTTAAATTTACTAGCATGTAGTTGACATTTAGTTTTGTTCCAGTTTCTCTTTGTTGTCATCCTAACCTTTTCAGAACTTCATATTTTTACCTGTACATTTGTAGTGATTGTGATGATAATAATAATAATGAAAGTGTTACATAAATGAATAGTGGTATGTCCAGGATTATCTCAGAAAGGATCCTCACTGGGTGTCACTGAAAACTGTGGCTGATTCAGTATGACTCTTTTATCCTTATTGGGGAATATGGTGCCAAAGTACAATTTTAAAAAAAAGTACTGTAGTCTGTTTGTGCTGCTATAACAAAATACCTGAGACTGGGTAATTGGTAAAGAAGAAAAATTTAGTTCTCATAGTTAGGGCTGGGACGTCCAAGATCAGTGCTCTGGCATTCATGGTGAGGGTCGTCTTGCTTCACCCTCACATTGGCAAAGGGATGAACACTGTCCTTACATGGCCTCAGTGGAGCCCTCATAACTAAATCACATCCCAAAAGGCCCTTTCTCTTAATATTACCACAATGGGAATTAATTTCAAGACATTTGGAAAGATAGTCAGACCATAGCAAAAATAATGTTTTTCTTTCTAAATAAAAAATTATGTGTGCACTATGAAAAAGAATATAAAACATGGATGTAGCTCATAGATATAAGGTTGCATGAAAAAAATGAGACATAAAGTATATACTGCACAGTTCTGTTTTTATCAAGTTCAAAAGCAGATAAATCTAATCTTTGGTGAGTAGGTTGAGGCATGAAGAAACTTCTAGGGTGCTGGAAATTTTCTATATTTTGATCTGTGTTGTGATTAGACAAGGTATACATATGCAAAAATTCATTGTACTGTACCCTTAATATTTGTGTACTTTATAGCTTCATAACTTTTTAAAAATAGAACAAACGTATTTGTATATTTATTTGAATAATCTTTATTCTAAAGATTATTCAGAAACATCATTTTATAACCCAAAGAATTACCTCAGTCAGTACATATTCATTGTGATGAATTTTTATACTAGAAATGATTTTTTATTTCCAAACAGAAAATTATGGGTCCCACTTTATACATAACCTAGTAATTATAAAAGCAGCCATTAAAAACTGAGAATTCATCATATATAAACATTGAATAACCACTACTGTATCATCTCACATGCTTAAAAAAACTTCATACACTGCCAATAGAATTACTGTGTTGTGAATTATGTGTTATACCTAATATGTAGGTATTTCCCTTACAAGTATAGAAAAATGGGAAATATTGATATTTTAGAATGAGGCTAATTTTATATTATAACTTGTGCATTTGTTTTCATTTGAGTAAACCAAATTAAGCTTTTTGAGTTCCTTATGTGCACAGCTCCCCCTATACATGTATAATAAGCCTATATAGTAGTTACTGCAAACTTTAGTATTATATATTGCATAGAACAAATAGCTTAACTGAGCTTACAGATATTTTTTCTGTACCATTGGGAGCACTAAGAATTAATGGAGGTAGCATTAATTTAGTCATGGAATTATGGACTGTTTTTATTTTGGACACCTAATTCAGAGTTTGGTACAATCAAATACACGAATATGAAGACATCTGGATGTATTTACTCTTGAAATTTAGTATTTTAATTTATATATTAGAATCTTTGTATTTGGCTTACTTGGGAAAAGGAGCAATCCAGGTATATTTTGATTCAGAGAATCTGAAGTTTCTCTATTCTCCTTTCATAACTGATGCACTGATGGGTTTATTACTGTGTGTAGATCTTTGCCTCAGTTTCATTTCCTGCTTTGTCTCCTTTTGCCTTCACGTGTAACAGAATTTTATAAATTCTGAAAGGTGGGATTATGCTAATATTTCATAGTCAACTCCCAACAGTGGTAAAGTAAAATAGGTTTTTGATGCAAATCTGGCACTTCCTTCCTTTTGTGGTAAAGCAGCAGCTAGCAGTAGGTACTGAAAATTGTTTCAATTCACTTGGGGCTCTCTTTTTTTCTATTGAGCAGTAAAGTTTTTCCTTGAAACACTTGGCTGCTTTTATTAAAATGCTTAGTTTATTCCCAACTGATCTCTCTAATCGTTGCTAGTACTGTGTCTTTTTGTGGGTTTGAGTAGAATAATGCTCAGGAGAAACATGGAATGTCAAAAATGTGGTTTTAATGACTGGATCATTTAGAGCTAAAATAGATACAGAATTTAACAAAATGAAGCAACATTCACCTAAAATGTTTTAATTTATGCTTCTGATTTCAGAGTGATCATTTAGGATCAGGAAGCCATTTCAGTAACCGTAAGTATAAAAGTATGGATTATCATTGTAGTTTACCTAGTTCAAGCAAAGAAGAATGTTTATTCTTATTTGCCTAACTGTACATGATACTCCTGCTAAATTTCATCCAACTATACTTGTGTGTTATACCTCAAAAGATGGAACTAGGAAGTGATTAAGATAACCCTGTACCCTCTAATAAAATCTGATCATCACTGAGTCTCTGATTTTCCTTAGCCACCTATATTTTTAATTTGTATATTGTAGGAATTACCAAATTTGCCTTGTTGATTAGTAGACCTTTGTCTTTTGATACTTGGCTTGCTTTTTATGGAAAGAAACATAAACATAGTTTTCTAAGTTGGAGAAATCAGTCTCAGTGCAGGTAAGCATTTTAAAACTATAAGTTCAATAAACATTTATTAATATTTTAGACTGTACAGTCTTCTTTTTTCTCCAACTTTAAACAATTTCTCTAGAAAACCTGTTTTTGTTTCCTAGTGAATACTAAACTATCCTCTAGCACAAGAGTAATATTTATCCTATAAATTTAAAAGAACAGCATTTTTGTTTTGATTGATTATAAGGTACATATTTTATAATAATCACTTAGCCTATTTAGTTTAACAATCTTACATATTTCTAAAAACCAACTTAGAATCTATTTATTAGTAGGCTGTAGGTTCTTCCCTTATGTTTATAGAAATAATAAGGAAAAAAATATGGGTATTTTAGAACAAAATAATTTTATGTTGTACCTCCTGCTTCTCTTTTGTTTGAATAATAAAGGAGAGGAAATAACATCAAATTAATACTTAGCCTACTCTGGTATGGATATTTAAGTTAAGATGTCATTTATTTGGACTTATTTAGGAAAAGAAGATATGCTTCTTAAACAAGGTCAAATGTATATGACAGACTCACAGGTAATACTGTTTTCTTAATTTTAAAAAATATTTAATGAAAATATTAGTGCCTTTATATAAAGAAGAAAACAGCATTGTGTATTTATTAAGTCTATATACATGGAGTAAGTGTTTCATTATCAAAGAAAAGTTGTTCTTGCTTTCTTGAATCTAATAAAAGCAGATATTGCTGTTTCTGGTGCCCTCTAGAGTGTTTTTGATGATAGTGGCTATAATAAGAGATTTGAATTACAATTTCATTGTCTTTGATAGTAAGCCTCCATTCATTAATAGTGATCAGTTAACTCTTCCTATTTGCCCATATAAAGTAGAAGATAGATATGAATAATTCAAAAGTAATTTCTTGGCTTTGAAATGTATTTTCCCTTGTAACTAAATATGTATTCTATGTTTTGGAAATTTGCCTCAAAATAAATCTTCCAGAGGTAGAGTATTATCTGATTTTCTTACCTGTTTATCTGCTTCTCATGTTTACATTTTAGCAGATACAAGGTTTGCATTTCTAGCACCTTCTGTGGACTGCAGAACAGATAAATATTTGGGCTTCTGAGGCTTTTCTTATATTCCTTCATCTGTAAACAGAGTGAGTTAGCCTAGATGATGCCTAAGATAGAAAATTCTAAGATTCCATGTTGAGAGAATAGTTATCAACTGACCAGTATTTAAAAAGATTTGATAAATATTTGATTACAGTACAAGTATAGAAGTTGTGAAGGTGTATAAGAAATTTCTTGGTAAATTACAGTAGTCTTAGTCTAAATAATTGGTAAGTTGAAAGATAATTTAAAAGCAGACCAAGGCTGGGAAATTATTTCATTTTGTCAATTTTTTTCTTCTTGATCTGGGGGAAAGCAGTTCAGATTTAACTGAATAACAGTAAAACCTGCCTATTAAAATAATGGAATTACTCATAGCACACAGCTTTTATCAATGAATTAGCGCTTGTAAAGAGCCCTTATTGTGTTAGGCCGGGTGTCCTCAAACTACAGCCCGTGGGCCACATGTGGGTGTTTTTGCCGGTTTGTTTTTTTACTTCAAAATAAGATATGTGCAGTGTGCATAGGAATTTGTTCATAGTTTTTTTTTAAACTATAGTCCGGCCCTCCTATACTCTGAGGGACAGAGTTTAAAAAGTTTGAAGACCCCTGTGTTAGGCTATGTGAGGAAAATGAAAACATTATTCTTTCATGATTGTATGTTCTGATACTTATAAACTATTTCACCAAGAAGTTTAATGATGCTTCTTTTCTTATCAGCACTTAATAGAAGGAATACAATACTAATTAAATTTTACACTAAGGTCTTGTGCTAAATTCTACTTCATCTTCCTATTTGAGAGGTGAAAACTGGTTTTTTTGTCAATTGACTAACATTCTCTTGACAACTTTCGTACTAACTAGGTTTATTTTGATGATATTCTTATAATTTAAAGAATATTATATTGGAATTAATAGTGAATGTACCTAGAAGTCATAGTCATATATCTTATTAGAAGTTAAATAATCTATAATTCTGTGGAATTATTTGCATATTTAGAATCATAATACTTGTTTTTTTCAAGGGTCTTACAGCTTTCTTCAGAATTTGAACTTCTAAACATATTATGTGTCATAAAATATAGAAATAATAAATATGTTTTGATAAAGTTGATATTCATGCCTGGAATAAGGTGTTAGAATAGGGAAAGAAAGAGAAAATAGCACCCAATGGACACAGCTATTTTCCTTCTTGTTCTGCCAGAAATAGAATTAAGTGAACAGAACCCTCAAAATGTTCTGAGCATATTAGGGAAATCATACCCAAAATTATTCTTCTTACCACAAAAATCAGTACTATATTTTTTTGCCACCATACTATGTAGTCTGAAAACCCTTTGACTCCTGATGATGTGGGAACTTTCTATAAGTTTGGCAAATAAATATAGTTAATGTCTTTTAAGTAAAGTTAATGTCTTTTATAGGCATTTGTGATTGGTATCTTTTTTTTTTTTTCCTTTTTAGTGTACCTCCACAGGTATGCCAGCCCATATGCAAAGCAGATCTATGTTAAGACCACTGGAGCTATCTTTATCCAGTCAAACCTCCTACTCTGAAAATGAAATTTTAAAGAAGGAGTTAGAAGCAATGCGAACTTTCTGTGACTCAGCAAAACAAGACCGACTCAAACTCCAAAATGAGCTGGCTCACAAGGTGGCAGAGTGCAAAGCTTTAGCGTTAGAGTGTGAAAGGGTCAAGGAGGATTCAGATGAACAGATAAAGCAATTAGAAGATGCATTAAAAGATGTGCAGAAGAGGATGTTTGAGTCAGAAGGTAAAGTAAAACAAATGCAGACCCATTTTCTTGCCCTTAAAGAACACCTAACCAGTGAAGCAGCTACAGGGAATCACAGACTGGCGGAGGAACTGAAGGACCAGTTGAAAGACATGAAAGCAAAATATGAAGGTGCTTCGGTAGAAGTGGGAAAACTAAGAAACCAAATCAAACAAAATGAGATGGTAGTAGAAGGGTTTAAGAGAGATGAAGGCAAGCTGAGAGAAGAAAATAAGCGATTGCAGAAGGAATTTAGTATGTGTGAAATGGAGCGAGAGAAGAAAGGAAGAAAAGTCACAGAGATGGAAGGACAGTTAAAAGAATTGTTAGCAAAGTTGGCCCTTTCCATTCCAACAGAAAAATTCGAAAATATGAAGAGCTTATTATCGAATGAAGTGAATGAGAAAGCAAAAAAGGTAGTGGAAATGGAAAGAGAATATGAAAAATCACATAGTGAAATTAGACAGTTAAAGAGAGAACTTGAGAATGTTAAGGCCAAGCTTGCTCAGCATGTCAAACCGGAGGAACATGAACAGCTCAAGAATAGATTGGAGCAAAAATCAGAAGAACTTGGGAAGAAGATCTCCGAGTTAACACTGAAAAATCAGACATTACAAAAGGAAATTGAAAAGGTGTATCTGGATAATAAGCTCCTCAACCAGCAAGTACATAACTTAACAATTGAAATGAAAAATCACTATGTTCCTTTAAAAGTAAGTGAAGAAATGAAAAAATCACACGATGTCATTCTTGATGATTTGAATAAAAAGCTTTTAGATGTAACACAGAAATATACAGAAAAGACCCTGGAAATAGAGAAACTGCTGAAGGAAAATGACAGTTTAAGTAAGAACATTAGCCGCCTGGAAGCTGTATTTGTTCCTCCTGAGAAACATGAAAAAGAGATAACGGCTCTGAAATCCAATATTATTGAACTTAAAAAACAAGTGTCTGAACTTAAGAAAAAATGTGGTGAAGACCAAGAGAAAATACATGCACTCACGTCTGAAAGCGCTAACTTGAAAAAGACTATGAGTAATCAGTATGTGCCAGTTAAAACCCATGAAGAGATTAAAATAGCATTGAGTAACACATTAGATAAAACTAACAGAGAATTATTAGATGTGAAGAAAAAATTTGAAGATATAAATCAAGAATTTATAAAAATAAAAGATGAGAATGAAATAATGAAGAGAAACCTGGAAAACACTCAAAACCAAATAAAAGCTGAGTACATCAGCCTAGAAGAGCATGAGGAAAAGATGAGTGCTCTAAGTAAGAGCATGAAAAAGGTACAAGATGATAATGCTGAAATACTGGCTAACTACAGACAAGGCCAAGAAGAGATTGTGACACTGCATGCTGAAATTGAAGCCCAGAAGAAGGAACTCGACACAATACAAGAATGCATTAAGCTAAAATATGCACCAATTATCAGCTTTGAAGAATGTGAGAGAAAATTTAAAACAACAGAGAAGGAACTAAAAGAACAGTTATCAGAGCAGACACAAAAGTACAGTGCCAGGGAAGAAGAGGCCAGGAAAAACAAGCAAGAGAATGACAAGTTAAAAAAGGAGATTTTTACCCTTCAGAAAGATTTAAAGGATAAGAATGTTCTCATTGAGAATTCTCATGAAATGGAAAGAGCACTAAGCAGAAAAACAGAAGAGCTAACCAAACAGTTAAAAGATCTGTCACAGAAATACACAGAAATAAAGAATGAGAAAGAGAAGCTAGTAGAAGAAAATGCCAAACAAACTTCTGAGATACTTACAGTGCAAAATCTTTTGCAAAAACAGCATGTTCCAGTGGAACAGGTTGAGGCCCTGAAAAAATCTCTTAATGGCACAATTGAGAATCTAAAGGAAGACCTAAAGAATATGCAAAGGTGTTATGAGAAAGAGCAGCAGACAGTGGCCAAACTACATCACTTGTTGGAGAATCAAAAGAATTCTTCTGTGCCCCTGGCAGAGCATTTGCAGATTAAGGAAGCATTTGAGAAAGAAGTTGGAATCATAAAAGCTAGCTTGAGAGAAAAGGAAGAAGAAAGCCAAAACAAAACTGAAGAAGTCTCCAAACTTCAGTCTGAGGTTCAGAATACCAAACAAGCATTAAAAAAATTGGAGACGAGAGAGGTAGTTGATTTGTCTAAATATAAAGCAACGAAAAGTGACTTGGAGACACAGATTTCCAACTTAAATGAAAAATTGGCCAATCTGAATAGAAAGTACGAGGAAGTATGTGAGGAAGTTTTACATGCCAAAAAGAAGGAGCTATCTGCAAAAGATGAGAAGGAATTACTACATTTCAGCATTGAGCAAGAAATCAAGGATCAGAAGGAACGATGTGATAAGTCCTTAACAACAATTACAGAGTTACAAAGAAGAATACAAGAATCTGCTAAACAAATCGAAGCCAAAGATAATAAGGTAGGGCACAAAGTAGTCTGCATGGCTATAGGTTGGAAACCCTAGAACAGGACTAACAGAGCAGAAGGAGAATAGAACTCTTTACCATAGTATCCCACGGAGGTTTACAAAAGTATTAACAAAGTGACCATTAAATGTTCCCTTTTGTTTTGACTACTGGTATGAAAAAATTTCTGAATTGGAAAAAGTAACAAACAAAAATCAAAAGCATTTTTCCTTCTGTTCCTTTAATTGAGGAAAGATGGGTGACTCATGGTTCACTTGCCTCATAGATGAATAGTCAAAATTCAAGGGGGTTGTAGCATCTGAAGGGTAGGGATGGAGAGGATAAAAAAAAGCTATGCTTCTGGGCTGCAAGAAACTGAGGATTCTAGGGAGCATCCCAAACTTGATCTTGGAATTCACCTATGCCAGCAAACCGAGCCCCCCAATTCATTGTATGTTCTCTCTCCCATGTCTTTCTATAGACTGGTCCCCTCACCCAGAATGTTCTCCCCCTCCTCTCTCCTGAGTTGCATCCTAGACATTTTTTAACACTTTGTCTTCCATCCTAAAATCTTCAGTGTCCAATCTAGTATACAGTAAATAGTTCCTCTTTCAAAATACATGTTTTGTTTCAACTTTGCATTTGAAATATTTGTATTACCATGTTAGAATTATGTGGTTGATCTCCCCAGTAAGTTTATAAGAGCAGGATTTATAACTTATCTTTTCTTCTTATCTTTCATTCTCATGGTACAATTTATAGAATAGATACTCAGCAATTTTTTTACAACTAGTAGTTACATAAAGTTTGTACTATGGAGATGAGACATGACCGCTATTTTATCCATTCAGCAAGTAATTATTAAATGCCTTCTACATGCCATGTTCTGGGGATACAGTGATGAGTAAAAGCAGACAAACACCTCAGTGGAAAGGTACAAGTCCAAACCTCTGGCATATCTGTTTTTATGTCCCAGAATTTAAATCCTTTAAACTTGTTTGGAAGGTAGTTATCAATATAGTAATATATAATTATAATAGCTAATTATTAGTATCTACTTATGCTTTTCATTTATTGAGCATGTACTATGTACCAGGCATATATTTATAATTGCATTTGATTTTTTTAACTCTGAAAGATTTTCTGCCTTTCACCAGTATGGAAACAAACACTCAGAAAAGTAAAGGAAATTAGCCAAGCTCATACGAGTCAGACCTGTCAACTTTAAAGCCTGTGCTTTTTCCACCACTCTAAACAGCTTCCCTGTTTTTTTCCCCTCTCTACAGCAAAGTAATCTTAAATAATTAAACTCTTGAAAAGGGAACAAGGCATGCCTGTTAATTCTAGACTTAAATGAGACACTCACTTTTTCTTTTCACACTTTGTTGAAGGGAATCCCCCTCCCTTCCTGTATTCCAAACATTACCTGGAGGATAGTTTATATATCTTTATAGATAATTATGTATAATCTAAACGTAGAAAGACTAAGGTCGTGCTCAAATCTTTTGATATATTTAATATTTATTCTTAATTTGGTATTGCTTTTATAAAGAATTTGCTGAAAAGAATTTAAAGAAATTAAATTATATATTGTATATACTGTTGATAATCTTGATAATATTCATACCTCAATTTTCTGATGTATAAATTTTGTCTTAAAGGAATGATGATGCAAAGATGTTTATTATAAATGAATAAATGAATAATATGCTTCTCCTACAATTTTCTTCCTTTGTTTAAAAAGATAACTGAACTGCTTAATGATGTAGAAAGACTAAAACAAGCACTCAATGGCCTTTCCCAACTCACCTACACAAGTGGAAACCCCACCAAGAGGCAGAGCCAACTGATTGACACTCTGCAGCACCAAGTGAAGTCCCTGCAGCAGCAGCTGGCTGTAAGTAACCAGATGCACAGGACTCTGCGCTAGTTTGTGCAGGCTCACATTAGTTCGCAAAGCTTATTTAGAAATTAAATTGATTTATACCTGTGTTCAGATCCAAGAATGTAATTGTTTTTGCCAAAAGTTACCTATACTCATGGTATAATAATATCATTTATTTGGTGCCTGCTATATGCCAGGCACTACGTTAAACATTTTACATATTATATCTTCATCATAATCCTGCAAAACAGATTTATTCATTGTTCCATTTTATTCTTAAGGAAACAAAGATTAAATTACTTGATGCCTGGGGTCATATAGCTGGGATGTAGACCTAGGACTGGCTGACTCCAAATCCACCTGGTCCACTAAACTGAAGGAGGTTTTTAATAATCTTTTATTCTTATGACCAAAGATGGGCATTCCTATGGTTTTATTCCTTATATCCTTATATATTTAAAGAAGGCATCTGGATTTCCATCTCTCCGTTATATATTAAAAGAAAGCATTTGTATTTAAATGCTGAAGTTGGAACTCTGGTCTCAGCCCTGCCACTTACAAGCAAGTAGCATGGAACATTCCATTTAAACTGTGGCATCCTCATCCATAAAATAGGATAATAAGAACTGATTACTTATTTGTTTATATTTTTAATTGAATGAGTTCATATACATTTAAATGCTGAGTAGAACATGGCCCAATCAAATGTAAATTGTTGCTAATATCCTATTTTGTAGGAATTGCTTTATGAGTTATTTTTAAATAGAAGAAAGGTTTTCTTTTCAAGTTTTTATTTTTTAACACTGTTTAGCTATTAATCATAATAATGGAAAATTGCTGATTTGGATCTTACCAAAAGGATATGGTATTCCTTCAATAATTAGAAATATCTGTTTATTATTTTTTATCTTCATGACCCCATGCTAAGCCCTGTCAGGGTTAAAGAGAGTTTACCATTCCTGTCCCCAAGGAGTTCTGGGTTGTAAGAAGGGCAAAATACAGATTCTTGAAAAGTCAAATAACAAGGAGACAGATGTCAAATATAGAATTGAGAATGTAGTACCAGATTCTAAGTGATATGGGTTCCCAGGAAGGAAAGATTACTTGTGTGGTGGGAGCTAATTTCAAAGAATGGAGTACCTGGCCTGAACTTGTAAAATAAATGGAGTTTTGGTAGGTGACAGGAAAATAGAAGATCTTCCATGCAAACAAAATAGTTTCAGAAAGGGCATGGAGGCAGAATGCAGGCGGCATGGCTGGGGGCAGGAAAATGCCTGCCTATACAGTAGTCTCCCTTTATCCACTGGGGATGCATCCCAAGACCCCCAGTGGATATCTGAAATTGCAGATAGTATCGAACCTTACAGATACTATTGATATGTTTTTTTCCTACACATACATACCTGTGTTAAAGTTTAACTTATAAATCAGGCACAGTAGGAAATTAATAACAATAACTAATAATAAAATAAAACACATAACAACGTACTGTAATAAAAGTTTTGTGAATGTGGTATCTCTGTGCCCCTCCCTCCCTCTCTTTCTCTGCCTCAGAATATCTTATTGTAACTGACACGGAGAAAGTAAAACTGCCGATAGTGAAACTGATAAGGGGGGGCTGCTGCATTTGAAGCCCAATTGTGGAAATTGTTTAGAACCAAGCTGATGAGTATGGTTTCTCTCTTATATGTAAAGAAATGTCACCCAAGGTTTTTGAGCCAAAATGATGTGAGGGAAGAGCTGCCTCCGTGTCAGAAACATGATAGGGACACAGTGTAGAGCTAGCAGGCAAGATGGGAAGCTTTTGCTGGAATCCGGAGCATAAGTGGATAAGTGGTCTGCATGAGCTCATGGCATTCGATGTGAACTAAGGCAATCATTTCATGTTACTTAGGGTAAGTGGCGTTGCTTTCACTGTGAATAACCCACACATTCATGAGAAAAGTTTTATACTAATGTTATGGAATTCTGCATCTGGTAACACCAAAGTAGTTTGTTATAAAAAGTAATGGGAGCATTTTAATAATAATATTACTGTTTTGTAGCATCGGGCATGAGGCCAACATTGTCACAAGCCTCCATGTGTTTGGAAAGGTGAATGCTGATATTCTGATCTATCTTTCTACATTTCTAGGATGCTGACAGACAGCACCAAGAAGTAATCTCAATTTATCGGACACACCTTCTTAGTGCTGCACAGGTAAAGAACTATTTCTCCTTTGGAAAGAATATTTTAGAGAAAATAATTTTTTATTTTCAAGTAAATTTATGTGAAAGAAATTGATGTTTAAAGTAGCCGTACCCTATATGCTTATTTAAAAACAATTATTTCTTTTAATCATGGTTTGTGTATCTTCCAGAAAAATTTACAAAGCTTTATGGTAACACAGCATCTTAAATTTAGTGCTGTCTCCATCTGCTTGTCACTGAATTTATAGACAGTTTGGTAATGTGGTGACAGCACATGTTCACGGTGTTGCCAGCTGGAGGTAATGCCTTCACATCCACACGTAAGTGTCAGCTAAAAGAGGAGAGTGGGGAGGATTTCATATGTTTCTTGGTAGCTCAGGACTATCTCTTTGAGATGTAAAGAGTACTAGAAAAGTATGAAAATGACAAGCAGGGTGTGCATAGAATTGTAATAAAGAAAAATTGGTTTGTGAAGAGATAATCAATAACATTTATTTATTGATCCCTAAACTCAGGGACACATAAGATTATGAATTCCCTTCTTTAGAGGTATACTGAGAAAGCTATTTATTTAAATCATACTAAGAAATGCTTAACATATGAAGGATACTATACTTAATGCCCTGTGGAAACCCTATGTGCAGCATCTCCAAAATTCTCAGACTAGTTTTTTCAGGAAGATATACTAAAAGAGAAAAATGTTAAAATAACAGGAGAGATATAATGGCAATTATTTGGATTTGAAGTGTTAGGCCACATTATAAAAACAAACAAAAAATATGAAGGAAGGAAAAATGGGTGGTGAGAGAAAGCTTCAAAGAAATATCATTTTTAAAAAGAAAATTAGATAAAATAATAGAAAGATACTTTATGACATCTTTTAAAATCAATAGGCTTGCCTTTTCTATAGGAGATGGAGGGGAAACCAATGAAAAAGAATGAATGGAGTGATAAAAGAAGGTATCTTTAGCTACGTCTTTTGAGTAGAGAGGAGATAAGCTAGGATTTGAAAGTTTATTGTAATTATTAGAGAAGACTATTGAGGGATTCTAGAATAGGAAATTTAGGTGGGAAAATAGTAGAAAAGCACAGAAAATCTATATGAGAGTGAGGAACTCGCTAGCATTGGCGAAAGGAAGAAGACCTTGCTCCTACCGAAAGACACAGCAAACTAACAAGCCTTTCTATTTTCTATAATATATGCTTGTGAAATATGAAATTATTTTCTACCGAGTCCTAATGAAACATAACAAAAGCAATTGGCATCTGAAATGAAATAGTCTTGCCTTCTGGCATCATAAAGTTAACTAAGAAATTCAGTTTAGTCAACTATGGCTAATGTTTGAAATTTAAACATCCTGCTGTTATAGAAACAGATTTTGGAAGCAAAACTTTTTATATTAATAGGAAGTGTTGTGCTAAAACCTGTTCAAGTACTCCAGAAAAAAAAAGTGTGGTGGAGGGTGTTGTAAGCCCACCATATTGACTCGCATTTAATCAACTCTTGCCACCATTTTAAGTTTAAAGTATTTCTTTTTAAATATAAATGGCTAACATGCATGTAAAAAAGATGCTAAAACTCATCAGTAATGGGGGAGATGCAAATGAACAGCAAAGTACCATTTTTCACCTATGGAACTGACAATATTAAACAAGATGACAGTCTGTAGTGTTAGCCAGAGTGTATGTGGAAAATAGGCATTTATGGCCTGTTGGTGAGAGTGTAAATTGTCATATTCTCTATAGAGGGAAATTTCTGGTACTTTGCTAAATTAAAAATTGAGTCTGCTTTTTGACCCAGCAATTTCTTCTTTAGGAATCTGTCCATAAAGATTGGAAGTACCTTTAATGTTCATCATTAGGGGAATGGGTAAAGAAATTTAATACATTTATACAGTGGAATATTATATAATAACTTAAATAATTAGGTATCTCTAGGGAAAGATTTCTGTGACACTACATAAAAGCAAGTTGCAAAATAATATATATTATATGATCATATTTAAGTTAAAAATATAAATATGGGGAATTTTTTTTTTTTTTTTGAGAGACAGAGTCTCTCTCCGTTGCCTGGGCTAGAGTGCCGTGGCATCAGCCTAGCTCACAGCAAGCTTGAACTCCGGTTCAAGCGATCCTCCTGCCTCAGCCTCCCAAGTAACTGGGACTACAGGCATGTGCCACCATGCCTGGCTAATTTTTTCTATTTTTAGTAGAGACATGGGGTCTGGCTGGTCTCAAACCACTGAGCCGAAGCTATCCTCCCGCCCAGGCCTCTCAGAGTGTTAGGATTACAGATGTGAGCCACTGCGTCTGGCCATGGGGATTTTTAATCAAGCACTTTTCTCACTAAAAAAAAAGAACCTCAGTGACAACAACAAAAAGTTTCCTTTTAGTTTACTCTGCTCATTTATGGCTTATGCTGCTCCTGTCATCTGAGATTGTTATTAAAAAAGAGAGAGAAGTCTGTCCATTTGTTTTCTGGTAATAGATGTTAAAAGCAACTACTGTGCAGTACTTACTGACTTCTTTCTTTTCATAATAGAGCTCCACTCCCTTTTACAATAATGTCTTTAAGTATGACCACAATGGCAAGAGTTTTTTAGCATTTGGTGACTCACAACTAGTTATGCTCTTTTATGAAGACTTTGTCTTTAGAATTCTTGTGCAAACGAAAGATGACACAAAATATTTCTCCTCTTCTTTTTCTCAAGGGTCATATGGATGAAGATGTTCAGGAGGCCTTACTCCAAATCATACAAATGCGGCAGGGGCTTGTGTGCTAGCGGTTAGCACTGACCGGCCACTGTCTGCTTTGTCCTGCTGGTGCTGAGCTTTCTGTGCAGAACTCCACGGTCTTTCTGAACTTACTGTACTAGTGTAATTAAAATAAAATGTTTTGTCCTATCAGTAGGTTTTTTTAATTAGATGAATATGTTACTGACTTTTTCAATATCAGTTCAAATTTTATATTCTATATATGTTAATTTTACGTACAACATAACACTTTGCCTTGGATTGACTATATATTTTTACACTTGAATCCCTAATAAAACATGAACCATCTGCAATGGGTCCATACAAAGAAGGGTTAGGCTGAAATAATTGTTTAAAGATTTCTTTCAGAGAAGTTAATTTGGTTGGTGGCCACTTTTAAGTGGATCAGAAGACCTTTCAGATCCTCAGAACCTTGAGACCTGATGTAGTTGCAAGGAATGCATTGTAACTTTGCTGGCTAAGTTATCTCTTTATTGAGGTTACTTACTGAGTGTCTGACTTGTTTTGGAGGTACTGATTTTTTTCTTCTTATTCTTTTATGCCTTTTAAAATAAATTTCATAAATGGATCATAGTACCAAATTACATTTAGATTAAGAACAAGCAGGGGTGGAATATATCAGGAATTTATAATAAAATTGCCTCATAATCTCTACAACAGTATCTTAATTTTTACTTGTGGTGACTTTTCTTGCCACAGTATTTAGAGAACAATGATAAATGATACATTAGATTTTTGAAAATGTCAAAAACTTTAGACTTTTTTTTAGCAGTTAGTTTGACATTTGCTACTATAGTAACCAAGCACTCATTATATATGCATCCTCCAAATGTTTCATACTTATTTATAGGAAAGTTGTACTAATGAGATTAATAATGTGAAATGCAATTTTCCTACAAAGTTAGCATTAGAGAATTGATTTTAGATAAGATTTTTGAGGTTTTAGACAAAAGTGCAATAATACAGTAAACTGTAAGAATATAGATAGCAAGAAAATAATAAAATCGGGCATGTTTATAATAAATACTCTGATGTAACCAACTTTTATTAACTACATCTCATTGAGGGAAGTTTATATATCTTGTTATTTTTATTAACATTTTGTTTAGCATTCAGACTGAAAATTACTAATTTGACCATTAACAAATAATTGAACAAATAAATCATTTCAGTTGAGTTTTCTTAAACTGCAAAATGTGCCTTAGCAATAAAATTTGAACATCTTGAACCAGATTTTTTATCCCATTTTTGTATAATAGGGTAAAAGGACCATAATATAGCTTCTCATACCAAAGAATAAGCCATTATATTTTTTCAGTATACAGACAACAGTGAAATGTCAGAATTGGATTTATTTTTAATTCTTTAGGTAGATATATACAGTTTACATAAATGATATCTGGTTTCTTTATTATATTTAATGTGGTCCTTCAGCATGAGTTCCATTTCATGAATTTTAGGTTACCTATTGAAGCTCTACAGCGGAGCAAAGTTCTAAACTGAACATTTACATTCAGTGTCCCACTTTCCATATTAGGGGTGGGAAGAGAGCCTTATGTGTATTTTATTTTGTCTTCATCAATAAAATGTTTTCTCCAGAATATTGTTTTGTACATTCTTAAAAGTGATTTGCAAGTTAAACTACCATTTACCAAGTTTATTTACCATCTTTGGAGAATTTGGAGTAGGAAATAATGGGGTCCAAAGTACAGAAGATGATATCCATTTTCGGTTAGCTATCCAGAGTCAAATATCAAGTAACCTCCTTAAATTAATCCCTCGTCTCATTCTCTCACCTTTTGATATCAATGGCAGAAACTGCATTTGCAACACTGAAGACTAAAGCTTTTTAGTTAGTGAACAAGTGATACATAGATAATGGATGATGCTGGTCTCTCTGCCATTGTGTCGAGAAAAACTGTGAAACCTGAATCTATGGCGGAGAGGAAAGAAGAGCAGTGTTGTCTAAGATGTAATGAGTGCTCTCTGAGACAATGTCCAGTCCCTTGTTGGGATCTTTACTCTTCTGCGCTGTAGGTTTTTTCTTATCACTCCTACTTCATCAGAAAAGCTCATTCTTTTTGACAAAGGGTCAGTGTTATAAAGAATTATCTATTAAAATAAAATATTCATTCAATGAACATCTTAATGTCATAGTTTTTGTAATCACTTAGCTATACCTGCATTATTCTGAAATTTCAGATGAATGTGGCTTAGTCTTTCCTGTGGCTTACCTTTTATTTAAACCCTTTTCCCTTGACCCTAACTAAATGTTATGCAGTTTAAAATTTTCTGGTATGCTCATTTGCTGCTTTAAAATCTTGCAGCTTTAGAACATGAGCTTTCCCCCGCCAGTGTTACCAGCTTTCCTCTAACAATGGCCTAAAAACTGTTCTCACAGACATGGTGCTTATCTACCTGAATGGTTCATGTTCTTTGGCTCACTTGTTTCGAAGTAGAAAAGGGAAAAGTTTGCAATCAGTGTTTGGTATTCATGATGACTAGATGTAGTCATCACGCTTGCATGAATGCCACACCTTAGGTAGCAGTGATTATAAGCTTCTCTTGACATCTGCTTCAACATAGTGGAGGAAAACTACTTATTACCTCCTTATCTTCCTAATCACTGGATTCTGCAGCCTTACAGTGGTCTTTTTTCTTGCAGGTTACTGTGCACCAATGTAATGGTAGTACCTCAGGCACCAAAATACAGATTGAAAGACAATTGCCTGTGGTGAACATGTAAAATATGGCTGCACATGCTTGGCAGAGAGTAAAAAGAACTTAGATCTTACTTCTGGCCCCTAAATTTTATGAATAATTTCAGAGAGAGGGAAAAAAAAGCAACAGATGAGTAAAAGCAGAGTTTGCACCATAAAATATATTGTGCACAAAATACAAAATGAAAAATAGTGTAGTCATTTCAGCTCTCATTTTATTCAGTGATGTCCCCAGCTAAACTGGTTCTGAGCCATTGTTGCTGGAAATTCAATTCTTTCTCATACTTTGGCCTTGGCTGTTTGAAACAAGACTGTTTAGACCAGTCTCTCCAGGTAAATAGTAACCTGCTTCTTAGCATGGTTTCTGATTCTTACTGAATATATTGACCTTTGGCTCAAGTGAGTCATGAATGTACAGATTTAAAGTAAAAAAGATGAAGCTGCAGCAGATAAGGCATTCCAGCAAGACTCCCTGGGCTGTGAGAGTGCTTGTGTTCAGCATAATTGGGCACGTGACATTGCTTATATATTAGAGACACTTTCATTATTTATGCCTGCATGAACAAACATCGATGATGAATGAATGCACCAAAAAAGGAAAGGTTACAAAAATGTCATATGTAAATGAGAAAAACCCAAGACTTGGGAGGGTTGCTTCCCCAAGCATGCATATATATATATATATACACACACACACACCACACACACCACACACATACCACACACACACACTTCATGTCTATAATTCAGTCACATATGTATGTATATATATGCATATGTATTCCATTCAGTAAAATAATGGAAGAGACATCAATAAAAACAATGGCCCTTATAATTGATATTTGGCATCAAATTGTACTCGAGGCCTGGTTTTTATTTTATATTTTAAGCAGGTTTGCAATTTTTTTCAAGATGGCAGTCCTGGGAATATTCCGAGTTCTGGAAAGAGTTTAGAGAGGTTATTGCCTTCTTAATAATTTAGAGCGTCTATTGCTCTGCCAAGTCAGAAGATTAACATTTAATAGAAAAAAATTATATATCTATAATTCAGTCACGGCTATTAGATCAGATGGATTTTACATTAAGTGAAAAAGATGTTGAGCATTTAAGGACCATTAAACTACAGGACTCTTTTATTGGGTTTTAAGGCCTCCAAGCCAGGGTCCTGCTGCGAAGAGTATTTATTTTACATATACAGAACACATTAAGGATGGGAAAAGGGCACACATTTTAAAAGAAAATAGGCCATGAAAAAGTGTGATTTTCCACATTGTGAACAGCTACCATACAGAATCAGTCTTATTTTATAATAATTAGTTTTATGCCTCATTAAGTAGCTTTCTTACAGACTAGAAGAATATTATGAAGGCCACTTTAAAAGTGGTACCTGCAGGAAATCTAAGTAGCTGCATACCGTCTGCTGATATTTCACTTTGAGAAGCCACATTTCTAATAGTTTCCAAGGTTGGAGACTATATATTGTCAAGTTTAAGTTTGAAAATACCTTCACCAGTGGTCCTTAAGGACCATAAAAACCAAGACCCAGAGAGGAGCAGTTCGAATAAGTGTTTATTTTTTCTAGTGATGACCAAATTATCCAGGAGGGACAGGAATTTTGATCCTTGAGAAGAATCTCTTGCCTATGGGGAAAAAGTCTGCACCATCCTTTTTATTAAGTGCTTCTAACAATTCCATTGTTGGAATTAAAACATGGCAAACAATATCTGAATGTAAATTTTTTCTTAGGATTTACACCATGCCTCCTGCCCCATTCTCACCTCCAAAAACTAAGCAAGAGTTTTATGTGGGAGTATAAAAGCAAATAAGAGTCAGGAAGGTTGTGGGAATGGAGTTAATATAATTTATAACTTTTTTCCCTACAATGTCCAAACAAATTTTGTGATTTTCTTTCTTGCTATTCTAGGCTTTTTTTAATTGCCTTTGACTAAAGTGGCACCTTATGGGCTGCTTCAGAAATTTTCTTCAGGATTTAAAAATGAAGCCGATTCATATTCAGAGTCTTCCTGCTAAAAATCTGTTAAGCCAAAATAAAAATGACTGCTACTTAAAATTTTTTTTTCCTTTTTGTTGTTGCTGCAAACATTGTCTCACAGGAGCTGTTAAATGTCGTTTATGCACAATTAAAAGTCACTCTTCTTTGTACAAATGGAGAGAGAGAAACCATCCCAGGACTACCAATGCAAGTCCTAAGGATCAAAGTGTATCTGCCTTAATCAGATAAATGTGAGCTGTTCTCTTGAGTTTGAAAGGCCCCCCCTTTTTAAGTGAATTGATCCAGTTGGCCTTAATCTCTAAGCAATATAGCTCCTTTAAAACCATCTTTATTCATTCACACCAATTGACACTTAAAAAAAAATCCCCAGCTACTGTTCATCTAAGTCTAAATATATCTGTTAGAGTCAAATGTGTTTAAGAGGATTTGCAATCTGATTATCCAAAATACTATTTATCACCAGTGTTTTTGGTGTGCCACAGCCCATCTTATTATTACAATGTATGTAACTGTTTAACCGCAGCAGAGCCCAAAATATATCATAGCAATTAGGATAACCTGAAGGAGGG